TCTTTCTTTGTTAATTTAGCTCATCATTTTATTTATTTATTTTTAACTTTTGCTTTTATTTTTCATTAGTCTTATTATTTCATATTTTTTCTTCATTTTTTCCTTCTAAATAACTAATAAATTATATATTTTTTATTCAATAAAAAGGAACTAATAAATTGGTGCAAAAGGTGCATCAGGCTTAGGTTCTGCTTTATCAAAGTGCATTAATCTTTCAAATTTGACACTTGATCTTTAGTAAAAACAGTTTATTTATTTTTGATTGTGATATTTTTAATTGTTAAACAAATTTAACAATAAAGCTCTATTTTCTTTTTCTTTTTATTATGCTTGCTAGCTTATATTTCTTCTTTCTTTGTTAATTTAGCTCATCATTTTATTTAATTATTTTTAACTTTTGCTTTTATTTTTCATTAGTCTTATTATTTCATATTTTTTCTTCATTTTTTCCTTCTAAATTACTAATTAATTAATTATTTATTTTTTCTTCAATATTTAAAAAGTAACAATTAAATTGGTGAAGAAGGTGCATCAGGCTTAGGTTCTGCTTTAGCAAAGTGCATTAATCTTTCAAATTTGACACTTTCTCTTTAGTAAAAACAGTTTATTTATTTTTGATTGTGATATTTTTAATTGTAAAACTAATTTAACAATAAAGCTCTATTTTCTTTTCTTTTTATTATGCTTGCTAGCTTATATTTCTTCTTTCTTTGTTAATTTAGCTCATCATTTTATTTAATTATTTTTAACTTTTGCTTTTATTTTTCATTAGTCTTATTATTTCATATTTTTTCTTCATTTTTTCCTTCTTAATTACTAATTAATTAATTGTTTATTTTTTCTTCAATATTTAAAAAGTGGAAATTAAATTGGTGCAACAGGTGCATCAGGCTTAGGTTCTGCTTTAGCAAAGTGCATTAATCTTTCAAATTTGACACTTTCGCTTGGGTAAAAACAGTTTATTTATTTTAAATTGTGATATTTATAATTATAAAACGAATTTAAAATAATAAAACTCTATTTTCATTTTCTTTTTATTATGCTTGCTAGATTTTATTTCTTCTTTCTTTATAAATTTAGCTCATCATTTTATTTAATTATTTTTAACTTTTGCTTTTATTTTTCATTAGTCTTATTATTTCATATTTTTTCTTCTTTTTTTCCTTCTAAATAACAAATTAATTTTTTATTTTTTCTTCAATATTTAAAAAGTAACAATTAAATTGGTGATAGAATAGAATAGAAATACTCGCACATATAAATGCACTCAGAATACAACTTAAAATTTAAATTTAATTATTAATATTTTTATTTTTATTTTATTTTAAGTAAGATGTTATAACAGTTCTAGAATTTGAATAATTGTTATTTATTTGTTTAATCCAAATTAATCTTAAAATTATAAGGGGGGGGAGGCTATATCTACACCTATCTCACAACATCTTACAACATCTCACAACATTTGATAACACGGTGGATATATATTATGTTTGGTTCCAGGTGGATACCTAGCATGCTTTGACCCTTCTTTCTTTGTTAATTTAGCTCATTATTTTATTTAATTATTTTTAACTTTTGCTTTTATTTTTCATTAGTCTTATTATTTCATATTTTTTCTTCATTTTTTCCTTCTAAATAACTAATTAATTAATTATTAATTTTTTCTTCAATATTTAAAAAGTGGAAATTAAATTGGTGCAACAGGTGCATCAGGCTTAGGTTCTGCTTTAACAAAGTGCATTAATCTCTCAAATTTGAAACTTAATCTTTAGTAAAAACAGTTTATTTATTTTAAATTGTGATATTTATAATTATAAAACGAATTTAAAATAATAAAACTCTATTTTCATTTTCTTTTTATTATGCTTGCTAGATTTTATTTCTTCTTTCTTTGTAAATTTAGCTCATCATTTTATTTATTTATTTTTAACTTTTGCTTTTATTTTTCATTAGTCTTATTATTTCATATTTTTTCTTCATTTTTTCCTTCTAAATAACTAATTAATTATTTATTTATTTTTTCTTCAATATTTAAAAAGTAACAATTAAATTGGTGCAACAGGTGCATCAGGCTTAGGTTCTTCTTTAGCAAAGTGCATTAATCTCTCAAATTTGACACTTGATCTTTAGTAAAAACAGTTTATTTATTTTAAATTGTGATATTTATAATTATAAAACGAATTTAAAATAATAAAACTCTATTTTCATTTTCTTTTTATTATGCTTGCTAGATTTTATTTCTTCTTTCTTTGTAAATTTAGCTCATCATTTTATTTATTTATTTTTAACTTTTGCTTTTATTTTTCATTAGTCTTATTATTTCATATTTTTTCTTCATTTTTTCCTTCTAAATAACTAATTAATTAATTATTTATTTTTTCTTCAATATTTAAAAAGTGGAAATTAAATTGGTGCAACAGGTGCATCAGGCTTAGGTTCTGCTTTAGCAAAGTGCATTAATCTCTCAAATTTGACACTTTATCTTAAGTAAAAACAGTTTATTTATTTTGGATTGTGATATTTTTAATTATAAAACAAATTTAAAATAATAAAGCTCATTTTTCTTTTTCTTTTTATTGTACTTGCTTGTTTGGTTTTATTTCTTCTTTCTTTGTTAATTTAGCTCATCATTTTATTTAATTATTTTTAACTTTTGCTTTTATTTTTCATTAGTCTTATTATTTCATATTTTTTCTTCATTTTTTCCTTCTAAATAACTAATTAATTATTTATTTATTTTTTCTTCAATATTTAAAAAGTGAAAATTAAATTGGTGCTATACATACATACATACATACTCGCACATGGTGACATGCACTCGGGATAGGGGCCCTATATATAATTACTTATACATTATCACAAGCAAATAGCCTTATTCAAAATAACCCTCAAAAGTTCTTTCCCCCAAGTTAAAGAGTTAATAAAAAAAATTTTTTTATTTTGGATTGTAATATTTTTAATTATAAAAATTAATTTAAAACATTAAAGCTCTTTTAATTTATTTGATTTCTTTTTCGTTTTCTTTTTATTGTGCTTGCTTAATTTTTTCTTTCTTTATTAGTTTAACTAATTATTAATTAAATAATCTTATTTTTTCCTTCTAATTAACTAATAAATTATATATTTTTTATTCAATAAAAAGATACGAATAAATTGGTGTAAAAGGTATATCAGGCTTTGGTTCTGCTTTAGCAAATTGCATTAATCTCTCAAATTTGACACTTGATCTTAGGTAAAAACAGTTTAGTTATTTTTGATTGCGATATTTTTAATTATAAAACGAATTTAAAATAATAAAGCTCATTTTTCTTTTTCTTTTTATTGTGCTTGCTTGCTTGCTTTTATTTCTTCTTTCTTTGTTAATTTAGCTCATCATTTTATTTATTTATTTTTAACTTTTGCTTTTATTTTTCATTAGTCTTATTATTTCATATTTTTTCTTCATTTTTTCCTTCTAAATAACAAATTAATTATTTATTTTTTCTTCAATATTTAAAAAGTAGCAATTAAATTGGTGTAACAGGTGCATCAGGCTTAGGTTCTGCTATAGCAAAGTGCATTAATCTCTCAAATTTGGCACTTGATCTTAGGTAAAAACAGTTTATTTATTTTAAATTGTGATATTTTTAATTATAAAACGAATTTAAAATAATAAAACTCTATTTTCTTTTTCTTTTTATTATGCTTGCTAGATTTTATTTCTTCTTTCTTTGTTAATTTAGCTCATCATTTTATTTATTTATTTTTAACTTTTGCTTTTATTTTTCATTAATCTTATTATTTCATATTTTTTCTTCATTTTTTCCTTCTAAATAACAAATTATTTATTTATTTTTTCTTCAATATTTAAAAAGTAACAATTTAATTGGTGCAACAGGTGCATCAGGCTTAGGTTATGCTTTAGCAAAGTGCATTAATCTCTCAAATTTAACACTTAATCTATAGTAAAAACAGTTTATTTATTTTAAATTGTGATATTTTTAATTATATAACAAATTTAAAACAATAAAGCTCATTTTTCTTTTTCTTTTTATTGTGCTTGATTGCTTATATTTTTTTTTCTTTGTTAATTTAGCTCATCATTTTATTTATTTATTTTTAACTTTTGCTTTTATTTTTCATTAATCTTATTATTTCATATTTTTTCTTCATTTTTTCCTTCTAAATAACTAATTAATTATTAATTTATTTTTTCTCCAATATTTAAAAAGTGAAAATTAAATTGGTGTTGAAGGTACATCAGGCTTAGGTTCTGCTTTAGCAAAGTGCATTAATCTCTCAAATTTGACACTTTCGCTTGGGTAAAAACAGTTTATTTATTTTAAACTGTGATATTTTTAATTATATAACAAATTTAAAACAATAAAGCTCATTTTTCTTTTTCTTTTTATTGTGCTTGCTTGTTTGGTTTTATTTCTTCTTTCTTTGTTAATTTAGCTCATCATTTTATTTATTTATTTTTAACTTTTGCTTTTATTTTTCATTAGTCTTATTATTTCATATTTTTTCTTCATTTTTTCCTTCTAAATAACTAATTAATTATTTATTTATTTTTTCTTCAATATTTAAAAAGTTACAATAAAATTGCTGATGATGGTGCATCAGGCTTAGGTTCTGCTTTAGCAAAGTGCATTAGTCTCTCAAATTTGACACTTGATCTTGTGTAAAAACAGTTTATTTATTTTAAATTGTGATATTTTTAATTATAAAACAAATTCAAAACAATAAAGCTCATTTTTCTTTTTTTTTTTATTGTGCTTGATTGCTTATATTTTTTTTTCTTTGTTAATTTAGCTCATCATTTTATTTATTTATTTTTAACTTTTGCTTTTATTTTTCATTAGTCTTATTATTTCATATTTTTTCTTCATTTTTTCCTTCTAAATAACTAATTAATTAATTATTTATTTTTTCTTCAATATTTAAAAAGTAACAATTAAATTGGTGCAACAGGTGCATCAGGCTTAGGTTATGCTTTAGCAAAGTGCATTAATCTCTCAAATTTGGCACTTGTGCTTTGGTAAAAACAGTTTATTTATTTTAAATTGTGATATTTTTAATTATATAACAAATTTAAAACAATAAAGCTCATTTTTCTTTTTCTTTTTATTGTGCTTGCTTGCTTGTTTGGTTTTATTTCTTCATTTTTTCCTTCTAAATAACTAATTAATCATTTATTTATTTTTTCTTCAATATTTAAAAAGTAACAATTAAATTGGTGAAACAGGTGCATCAGGCTTAGGTTCTGCTTTAGCAAAGTGCATTAATCTCTCAAATTTGGCACTTAATCTATAGTAAAAACAGTTTATTTATTTTAAATTGTGATATTTTTAATTATATAACAAATTTAAAACAATAAAGCTCATTTTTCTTTTTCTTTTTATTGTGCTTGCTTGCTTGTTTGCTTTTATTTCTTCTTTCTTTGTTAATTTAGCTCATCATTTTATTTTTTTTTAACTTTTGCTTTTATTTTTCATTAGTCTTATTATTTCATATTTTTTCTTCATTTTTTCCTTCTAAATAACTAATTAATTAATTACTTATTTTTTCTTCAATATTTAAAAAGTGGAAATTAAATTGGTGCAACAGGTGCATCAGGCTTAGGTTTTGCTTTAGCAAAGTGCATTAATCTCTCAAATTTGACACTTTTGCTTGGGTAAAAACAGTTTATTTATTTTAAACTGTGATATTTTTAATTATATAACAAATTTAAAACAATAAAGCTCATTTTTCTTTTTCTTTTTATTGTGCTTGATTGCTTATATTTTTTTTTCTTTGTTAATTTAGCTCATCATTTTATTTATTTATTTTTAACTTTTGCTTTTATTTTTCATTAGTCTTATTATTTCATATTTTTTCTTCATTTTTTCCTTCTAAATAACTAATTAATTAATTACTTATTTTTTCTTCAATATTTAAAAAGTAACAATTAAATTGGTGCAACAGGTGCATCAGGCTTAGGTTCTGCTATAGCAAAGTGCATTAATCTTTCAAATTTGACACTTGAACTTAAGTAAAAACAGTTTATTTATTTTGGATTGTGATATTTTTAATTACAAAAATTAATATAAAACAATAAAGCTCTTTTAATTTATTTGATAGCTTTTTTATGATTTATTTTTTTTATTTTTTTATTCCAGTAATATTATTTTATTTATTAATTTAAATTTTTAATTTAAAAGTTTATTCTATTAAATGTTAATTCAAAATTTACACAAATTTATAATAAAAGATATAGCTATTTGAATGAATAATAAAAATTCAAAGTAGAAAGTAAGTGTCTTAAATCAAAAAGATTAGTCGTCTTTAAAATATAATTCTGATTGATGATAAACAAGTAGTGAAAAAAGATGAATAAATATTAAATGTTTGAATAATTGAATATTAAATGTTTTATAATATAATATTTTGAAAAAGTTTTTTTAACCTTAATAAAAGATAGATTTAATGATTGTTTTTTATATTTTTATAATTCATATTTTTATAAGTTAATAAATAAATAGCTTATAATATATAAAGAAAAAGGTGGTCTAGCGCCTAAGACCAAATTAACATTTATAATCATTTTACATAAAATTAAAAATCTAAAAACAAAAATTTTTCAAATAAATCTAATTAAATGTGATAATATATTTATGTATTATTCCCTATTTTTTATTTATTATCTTGCACCTAATTATATGATATAATTATTTTTAAATAATTAATGATAATGTGACATTTATATTTAGTAATTTTAATTATTTTATTGAAAAAAATGGATCTGATTAAAATTATTTAAAGAAAAATATATTTCTAAATTAAATTTTGAATTTATCTACTTTAAATAATAATAATAAATCTTCTACTTATACCTTGAGAAAAGAGAAAATAGAGATTTTAAAGAGATAATTTTTTAAAAAATCAGCATTTAAGCAAAAGAAATTGAAGAAGTTAATGAAATGTGGGCATTTTGTAATCTTTGCAAGAAAAAATATTTGTTTAAATGTATAATAAAAAGTAATAGCAAGAAAATAAAATTAAGAAAATAAATAAAGCAATTATTATTTTCTTTAACAAAAGAAGAAACAATCTTTCTTATTGCTTAAGTAATTTATCAAGATTTTATATCTTATAAAACTGTAGAAAATGATAGATTTAGAAGTTTTTTAAACAAAACTAGTTAGTAATTATCTCCCAACAAATAATAGTATATGTAAAATAAATAGATTTTTAATATCAGATTAGAATTACTGTATGGAAAACTAGGCAAACTCAATCTTTAAAATAGTGATTTTAAAAAAACTTTTGATCATTGGGCTTCATTAACACTTTAAAAATTTATTACAATATGCATAATTTTTATAGATTCTAAACTTAATTACAAAAAATATATACCATAAATCCTCACCAGCATAAATTTTCACCACATTTTCTGAATATTAATAAAAAACCTCTAGCTGGCAAAAAATTCGGTACACACATTGAGGAACGAGGTTGAGAGGTAATACGGTAAATAAATTAATAAACAAAAACAAAATTGAATTAATTTAAGTTTGTAAAAAAAAAAATATCAAAAAGAAATAAAAATAAAAAACAAAAAAAAATAAATTAATTTATTTATATAGTTAATACACATAAGTATAGCTATGTAATTACAAATTTTACAATTAAAAATTTATATACTGGAAATAATTGTGATTTATTATGATATTGGTATTTAATTAATATGATAATAATTTATAAGTTGACTTTATTATTAATTTATAATGAGCTCTAATTATATCATTTAGTCTATGTATCAAAGAAATTAAGACTTTTGAAATAAAAAGGATTAATAATAATTTAATTAAGAATATAATATCCTATTAGATTATGTTAATTTTTAATTTTCCAAAATAAAGGTAATAAAAATTAACTAGTTTCTTAAATTAATGAAAACTTATTAAAGAGTTTTTTAAAACGCATAATTGTAATGCTCAAAGTAAAATGAGAGTTAAAAATTAGTATGCTAGATTTTTTTAAAAAATGCTGCACTAAGGCTTACAAAAATTTCAAAATCTGAGTAAAATAGTCACTCATTGGTAAAGTGAAAAGTCATTGAGGTTAAAATAAAAAGCACTATTTAATTTATAAATTAGGTTTTCAATCATGGCATCTAATTTCTATGATAAATAAATAGAAATTTAGGGGTTGCAATTTTTAACCCCTCAAATTCCTTAATATGATAGAAAATAATATTTAAGATTAAAAACTTTCATTGTTTTTGGTTAAAAATGAGGCCTGCTTTTAGAGAAATTCATTCATTCATTTATTTACTTATTTACTTATTTATTTATTTACTTATTTACTTATTTATTTATTAAATTTAATTTAATTTGTGAATTTTCATTTATTTAATAAGCTATCTATAAAGTTCCTAAAATAAATAAATTAATATGAAATTCATATATGTAAAAATAATAATAAATCTATTTATGTTTAAGATTAAATTATGTTATTACAATATATTATTTAATAAAACATATTATTTTCTATTATACAAATATTTTATATTTAATCACACTTTTTATTTAATTATTGAGTATAATCATTTGAAATGTATTCCAAACACAACTAATCTTTTTGATTTAAGACACTTGCTTTTTAATTTCAATTATTATGGTTTATTGATTTAGCTTCCACTTTTAATATAAATTAAAATAAAATACTAAAAAAATTAAATAGAATTAAATTATCTAGTTAAAAATTATGTTTTTATTTTAATAAAAGAAAAAAAAATAGTAGTTTCAAAATAAAAAAGATAAATAAATAAATAAATCAAACAAAAGACTAAATTAAAAGGCTATAATATTGTTTTAAACTTAATTTTATAAGTAAAAATATCACAATCAAAAACAAATAAACTGAATTTACATAAGATCAAGTGTCAAATTTGAGAGTTTAGTGCAATTTGCTAAAGAAGAACCTAAGCCTAATACACCCTAATCACCAATTTCATTCCAGCTTTTTAAATATTGAAGAAAAAATATAACTAATTAATTAATTATTTAGAAAGAAAAAATGAAGAAAAAATATGAAAAAATAAGAAATGAATGAATAAATAATAAAAGCAATTATTGAAAATAAAAAAATAAGTTAAATTAAGAAAGATAGAAAATAAATAAACACAAGTACAATAAAAAAAAACGATAAATGCATTAAATAAAAAGCTAAATGCAAATTAAAATGGCTATATTGTTTTAAATTCAATTTTTTAAGTAAAAATATCACAATCAAAAACAAATAAATTGAGTTACCCAAGATAAAGTGTCAAATTTGAGAGATTAGTGCATTTTGCTAAAGCAGAACCTAAGCCTGATGCACCAATTGCACTAATTTCGTTCCAACTTTTTAAATATTGAAGAAAAAATATATAATTAATTAATTATTTAAAAGGAAAAAATGAAGAAAAAATAAGAAATAAATGAATTAATAATAAAAGCAAATATTGAAAATAAAAAAAGTTAAATTAAGAAAGATAGAAGAAAAATTAACTCAAGTAAAATAATAAAAAAAAGATAAATAAATCAAATAAAAAGCTTACAAACAAATTAAAAGAACTTTATTGTTTTAAATTCAATTTTATAAATAAAAATATCACAGTCCAAATCTAATAAACTGTTTTTACAAAAGGTTAAGTGTCAAATTTGAGAGATTAGTGCAATTTACTAAGGCAAAACCTAAGCCTGATACACCACAATCACCAATATAATTATTACTTTTTAAATATTGAAGAAAAAATATATAATTAATTAGTTATTTAGAAGTAAAAAATGAAGAAATAATATGAAATAATAAGAAATGAATTAACTAACAATAAAATAAAAAAAATGAGTTAAATTAAAAAAGATAGAAAAAAAAGAAAAACAAGTACAATAAAAAAGAAAATAAAAATTAAATCAAATAAAAAGCTAATAAACAAAATAAAAGAACTATATTGTTTTAAATTCAATTTTATAAGTAAAAATATCACAATCCTAAACAAATAAACAGAATTTACTCAAGATTAAGTATCAAATTTGAGAGATTATTGCAATTTGCCAAAGCAAAACCTATGCCTGATGCACCTTAATCACCAATTTAATTGTTACTTTTTAAATATTGAAGAAAAAATTAAAATGAATGAATGAATTAATTAATTAGAAGGAAAAATGAAAAAAAAATATGAAATAATAAAAATGAATGAATTAATAAGTAATAAAAGCAAACGTTGAAAATAAAAAGTTAAATTAAGAAAGATAGAATAAAAATAAATACAAGTCCAATAAAAAAGAAAGATAAATAAATCAAATAAAAAACTAATAAACAAATTAAAGAACTATATTTTTTTAAATTCAATTTTATAAGTAAAAATATCACAATTCTAAACAAATAAACAGAATTTACTGAAGATTAAGTATCAAATTTGAGAGATTATTGCAATTTGCCAAAGTAAAACCTATGCCTGATGCACTTTAATCACCAATTTAATTGTTACTTTTTAAATATTGAAGAAAAAATAAAAATTAATTAATTAATTAGAAGGAAAAATGAAGAAAAAATATGAAATAATAAAAAATGAATGAATTAATAAGTAATAAAAGCAAACGTTGAAAATAAAAAATCAGTTAAATTAAGAAAGATAGAATAAAAATAAATACAAGTCCAATAAAAAAGAAAGATAAATAAATCAAATAAAAAACTAATAAACAAATTAAAGAACTATATTGTTTTAAATTCAATTTTATAAGTAAAAATATCACAATCCTAAACAAATAAACAGAATTTACTCAAGATTAAGTATCAAATTTGAGAGATTATTGCAATTTGCCAAAGCAAAACCTATGTCTGATGCACTTTAATCACCAATTTAATTGTTACTTTTTAAATATTGAAGAAAAAATAAAAATTAATTAATTAATTAGAAGGAAAAATGAAGAAAAAATATGAAATAATAAAAAATGAATGAATTAATAAGTAATAAAAGCAAACGTTGAAAATAAAAAATGAGTTATATTAAGAAAGATAGAATAAAAATAAATACAAGTACAATAAAAAAGAAAGATAAATAAATCAAATAAAAAACTAATAAACAAATTAAAGAACTATATTGTTTTAAATTCAATTTTATAAGTAAAAATATCACAATCCTAAACAAATAAACTAAATTTACGAAAGATAAAGTTTCAAATTTGAGAGATTAGTGCAATTTGCTAAAGCAGAACTTAAGCCTTATGAATCTTAATCACCAATTTTATTTTTACTTTTTAAATATAGAAGAAAAAATATTTAATTAGTTATTTATTTAGAAGGAAATTATGAAGAAAAAATATTAAATAATAAGTATTTAGTTAATTAACAGTAAAAGCGAATATTGAAAATAAAAAATGAGTTAAATTAAGAAAAATAGAAGAAAACTAAACACAAGTACAATAAAAAAGAAAAATAAAAGTAAATGAAATACAAAACTAATAAACAAATTAAAAGAGCTATATTGCTTTAAATTCAATTTTATAAGTAAAAATATCACAATCCGAAACTATTAAACTCTTTTTATCAAGTTAAAGTTTTGAAGGAAAAAATGAATAAAATATATCAAATATAATAAATGGATAATAAAACTTTAGTTAAAATAACTAAAAAAACATTTGTAAATAAAATAAAAGTATTAATATAAATAATAATATCTATTCGAAAAATAATATTTTAAATGAACTGAAAGTTAAATATATAGAAAGTATTAATTATAATAATAGCATTTATAAATTAGTTAAATATACCTCAGATCAATATGGAGAACCTAATGAGATTAAAGTTAAGAGTTTAAAAACTTTTTATATTAGTAAAAATAAATTTAAACTATATTGATAAAAAAATAAATAATTACTTCTTATAATTTGTTGTAATATTTAATCTATTATATCATTTATTTTATTCTTTAAATATTGAATAAAAATTTATGGAAATTTTATTAATTATAATTAGAAAAAAATAATGTAGGGTGGTTAAACAAAATGCATAGAATGAAAAGTTTTTAGAATGTGTAAAGTTAAGGACATTAATTAATTACTAAAATTTTTTCAAATATGACTAACTGCCCATCTCTAATACCTACTATATTTTTAAGTATACATTTTAAATAATAATATTAAGATTTAATAATGAATATTAAATTAATTTTTTTGTGATATCTCTTCATAAAAGCAAATTTATAAATTAATATTTGAAAATTACTATATTTATTAATTAATTAAATTCCATAAATTGCTACTCAATATTTTTGAAAAAAAAAAATAAATGATATAATAGATTAAATAATACAACAAATTAGAAGAAGTAATTATTTATTTTTTTATTAATATCATTTAAATTTGTTTTATTAATAAAAAAAGTTTTTAAACTCTTCACTTTAATCTCATTAAGTTCTCCATATTAATCTAGAGTATATTTAAATAAAAATATTTAAAAATTTTTTATTTTAACTTTCAATTTATTTAAAAAAACAATTTTTATAATAGAAATTCTCACCACTATTCATTAATTTCTATTTATAGAAAAATTGTAAGCTATTTCAACTTAATTTTCATTTCAATTTTGAATTTTTTATTATTTGATAGGTTTTCTTCATTTTTTGCTATTAATACATACACTTAATAATAACAATTTGTTTATTTTGGATTGTAATATTTTTAATTATAAAAATTAATTTATAACATTAAAGCTCTTTTAGTTTATTTGATTTCTTTTTCTTTTAATTTTGCTTGCTTTATTTCTTTTCTTTCTTTGTTATTTTAACTAATTATTAATTAAATTAATCTTATTTTTTCATATTTTTTCCTTCTAATTAACTAATAAATTATATATTTTTTATTCCATAAAAAGATACGAATAAACTGGTGCAAAAGGTACATCTGGCTTAGGTTCTGCTTTAGCAAAGTGCATTAATCTCTCAAATTTGACACTTGATCTTTAGTAAAAACAGTTTATTTATTTTGGATTGTGATATTTTTAATTATAAAATGAATTTAAAACAATAAAGCTCATTTTTGTTTTTCTTTTTATTGCGCTTGCTTGCTTTTATTTCTTCTTACTTTGTTAATTTAACTCATCATTTTATTTATTTTAAATTTTGCTTTTATTTTTCAATAATCTTATTATTTCATATTTTTTCTTCATTTTTTCCTTCTAAATAAATAATTAATTATTTGTTTTTTCTTCAATATTTAAAAAGGTTCAATTACATTGGTGCAACAGGTGCATCAGACTTAAGTTCTGCTTTAGCAAAGTGCATTAATCTCTCAAATTTGACACTTAATCTTAGGTAAAAACAGTTTATTTATTTTGGATTGTGATATTTTTAATTATAAAATGAATTTAAAACAATAAAGCTCATTTTTCTTTTTCTTTTTATTGTGCTTGCTAGCTTTTATTTCATCTTTCTTTGTTAATTTAACTCATCATTTTATTTATTTTAAATTTTATTTTTCAATAATCTTATTATTTCATATTTTTTCTTCATTTTTTCCTTCTAAATAAATAATTAATTATTTGTTTTTTCTTCAATATTTAAAAAGGTCCAATTAAATTGGTGAAATAGGTGCATCAGGCTTAGGTTCTGCTTTAATAAAGTGCATTAATCTCTCAAATTTGGCACTTAATCTTTTGTAAAAACATTTTATTTATTTTGGATTGTGATATTTTTAATTATAAAACGAATTTAAAATAATAAAGCTCATTTTTATTTTTATTGTGCTTGCTTTTAATTCTTCTTTCTTTGTTAATTTAACTCATCATTTTATTTATTTATTTTTAACTTTTGCTTTTATTTTTCATTAGTCTTATTATTTCATATTTTTTCTTCATTCTTTCCTTCTAAATAACTAATTAATTATTTATTTTTACTTTAATATTCAAAAAGTTTGAATTAAATTGGTGCAATAGGTGCATCAGGCTTAAGTTCTGCTTTAGCAAAGTGCATTAATCTCTCAAATTTGACACTTGATCTTAGGTAAAAACAGTTTATTTATTTTGGATTGTGATATTTTTAATTATAAAACAAATTTAAAATAATAAAGCTCATTTTTCTTTTTCTTTTAGTGTGCTTGCTTGCTTTTATTTCTTCTTTCTTTGTTAATTTAACTCATCATTTTATTTATTTATTTTTAAATTTTGCTTTTATTTTTCATTAATCTTATTAATTAATATTTTTTCTTCATTTTTTCCTTCAAATAACTAATTAAATATTTATTTTTCTTCAATATTTAAAAAGTTTGAATAAAATTGGTGATGAAGGTACATCAGGCTTAGCTTCTGCTTTAGCAAAGTGCATTAATCTCTCAAATTTGACACTTATTCTTAGGTAAAAACAGTTTATTTATTTTGGATTGTGATATTTTTAATTATAAAACGAATTTAAAATAATAAAGTTCTATTTCCTTTTTCTTTTTATTGTGCTTGCTTAGTTTTATTTCTTCTTTCTTTGTTAATTTAACTCATCATTTTATTTATTTTAAATTTTGCTTTTATTTTTCTTTAATCTTATTAATTAATATTTTTTCTTCATTTTTTCCTTCTAAATAACTAATTAATTATTTATTTATTTTTTCTTCAATATTTAAATAGTGAAAATTAAATTGGTGCAACAGGTGCATCAGAATTAAGTTCTGCTTTAGAAAAGTGCATTAATCTCTCAAATTTGACACTTATTCTTAGGTAAAAACAGTTTATTTATTTTGGATTGTGATATTTTTAATTATAAAACGAATTTAAAATAATAAAGTTCTATTTCCTTTTTCTTTTTATTGTGCTTGCTTAGTTTTATTTCTTTTTTCTTTGTTAATTTAACTCATCATTTTATTTATTTTAAATTTTGCTTTTATTTTTCTTTAATCTTATTAATTAATATTTTTTCTTCATTTTTTCCTTCTAAATAACTAATTAATTATTTATTTATTTTTTCTTCAATATTTAAATAGTGAAAATTAAATTGGTACAACAGGTGCATCAGACTTAGGTTCTGCTTTAGCAAAGTGCATTAATCTCTCAAATTTGATACTTAATCTTAAGTAAAAACAGTTTATTTATTTTGGATTGTGATAGTTTTAATTATAAAACGAATTTAATATAATAAAGCTCATTTTTCTTTTTCTTTTTATTGTGCTTGCTTAGTTTTATTTCTTCTTTCTTTGTTAATTAAACTCATCATTTTATTTATTTTTAGCTTTTGCTTTTATTTTTCTTTAATCTTATTAATTAATATTTTTTCTTCATTTTTACCTTCTAAATAACTAATTAATTATTTATTTATTTTTTCTTCAATATTTAAATAGTGAAAATTAAATTGGTGCAACAGGTGCATCAGGCTTAGGTTCTGCTTTAACAAAGTGCATTAATCTCTCAAATTTGACACTTATTCTTAGGTAAAAACAGTTTATTTATTTTGGATTGTGATATTTTTAATTATAAAACGAATTTAAAATAATAAAGTTCTATTTTCTTTTTCTTTTTATTGTGCTTGTTTGCTTGCTTTTATTTCTTCTTTCTTTGTTAATTTAGCTCATCATTTTATTTATTTATTTTTAACTTTTGCTTTTATTTTTCATTAATCTTATTAATTAATATTTTTTCTTCATTTTTTCCTTCTAAATAACTAATTAATTATTTATTTATTTTTTCTTCAATATATAAAAAGAAGGAATATATTTGGTGATGAAGGTGCATCAGGCTTAGGTTCTGCTTTAGCAAAGTGCATTAATCTCTCAAATTTGAAACTTGATCTTAGGTAAAAGTAGTTTATTTATTTTGGATTGTGATATTTTTAATAATAAAAATTAATCTAAAACAATAAAGCTCTTTTAATTTATTTGATAGATTTTTTATGATTTATTTTTTTTATTTTTATATTCCACTAATATTATTTTCTTTAGTATTTTAAATTTTTAATTTAAAAGTTTATTTTATTTAACGTTTATTTAAAATTTACACAAATTTATAATAAAAGTTATAACTCGTTGCTTCAATAATAAAAATTCGAAGTAAAAAGTAAGTATCTTAAATCAAAAAGATTAGTCATCTTTAAAATATAAGTCTGATGATAAATGAGTGCTGAAAAAAGATGAATAAATATTAAATGTTTGAATAATTGAATATTATATGTTTTATAAAATTATATTTTGAAAAAGTTTTTTTAACCTTTATAAAAGATAGATTTAATTATTGTTTTATATATTTTTATAATTCATATTATTATAAGTTAATAAATAGCTTAAAAATAAAAAAAATTTAAAATTAAAAAAGTTTATTTACTTAAATGGGTTAATTCCTCTTCAGACAGCCATCCGATTTCACCAAAAAAATCAAATAATTTGTAATTTTAGTGTTATATTATATATTATTAAATTATGTAAATCCCAAGCTTTTATATGCCAGTTAGATTTTAATATTAAATATTATCCATCAATCAATTTTTATCTATTTTATATTTACCATGATTAATTAGATGCGATGATTTAAACCTTAGGGAGAAATCAAATTTTACTTTTTATTTTAATAATTAATTACTAAAATTTTTTCTAATATGACTAACTGCCCATCTCTAATACCTACTATATTTTTAAGTATAAGATTTAAATAATAATATTAAAATTAAATAATGAATATTAAATTAATTTTTTTGTGATATCTCTTCATAAAAGCAAATTTATAAATTAATATTTGAAAATTATTATATTAATTAATTAAATTCCATAAATTGCTACTCAATATTTTTGAAGGAAAAAATAAATGATATAATAGATTAATTAATACTACAAATTAGAAGAAGTAATTATTTATTTTTTTATTAATATCCTTTAAATTTTTTTTATTAATAAAAAAAGTTTTTAAACTCTTCACTTTAATCTCATTAGGTTCTCCATATTGATCTAAAGTATATTTAAATTAAAAATATTATAATTTTTTTTTTTAACTTTCAATTTATTAAAAAAAATAATTTTTATAATAGAAATTCTCACCATTATTTATTAGTTTCTATTTATACAAAAATTTTTAGCTATTTCAACTTAATTTTTATTTCAATTATTAATTATTTATTATTCATTTTTTATTATTTGATATTTGATATTTTTTCTTCATTTTTTGCTATTAACACTTACACTTAATAAAAACAATTTTTTTATTTTGGATTGTAATATTTTTAATTATAAAAATTAATTTAAAACATTAAAGCTCTTTTAATTTATTTGATTTCTTTTTCTTTTAATTGTGCTTGCTTAATTTTTTTTTCTTTCTTTGCTAGTTTAACTAATTATTAATTAAATTAATCTTATTTTTCATATTTTTTCCTTCTAATTAACTAATAAATTATATATTTTTTATTCAATAAAAAGGCACAATGAAATTGGTACAATAGGTGCATCAGGCTTACGTTCTGGCTTAGCAAAGTGCATTAATCTCTCAAAATTGACACTTGATCTTAGGTAAAAACAGTTTATTTATTTTGGATTGTGATATTTTTAATTATAAAACGAATTTAAAATAATAAAGCTCATTTTTATTTTTCTTTTTATTGTGCTTGCTTGCTTTTATTTCTTCTTACTTTGTTAATTTAACTCATCATTTTATTTATTTATTTTTAACTTTTGCTTTTATTTTTCAATAATCTTATTATTTCATATTTTTTCTTCATTTTTCCCTTCTAAATAATTTATTTATTATTTAATTTTTCTTCAATATTTAAAAAGTCACAATTAAATTGGTGCAACAGGTGCATCAGGCTTAGGTTCTGATTTAGCAAAGTGCATTAATCTCTCAAATTTGACACTTTATCTGTTGTAAAAACAGTTTATTTATTTTAGATTGTGATATTTTTAATAATAAAAAAAAGAATAATAAAGCTCTATTTTCTTTTTCTTTTTATTGTGCTTGCTTGCTTTTATTTCTTCTTACTTTGTTAATTTAACTCATCATTTTATTTATTTTATAACTTTTGCTTATATTTTTGATTAATCTTATTATTTTATATTTTTTCTACATTTTTTCCTTCTAAATAAATAATTAATTATTTATTTTTTCTTCAATAATTAAAAAGTAACAATTAAATTGATGCAAAAGGTGCATCAGGCTTAGGTTCTGCTTTAGCAAAGTGCATTAATCTCTCAAATTTGACACTTGATCTTAGGTAAAAACTGTTTATTTATTTTGGATTGTGATAGTTTTAATTATAAAACGAATTTAAAACAACAAAGCTCATTTTTCTTTTTCTTTTTATTGTGCTTCCTTTTATTTCTTATTTCTTTGTTAATTTAACTCATCATTTTATTTATTTTTAATTTTGGCTTTTATTTTTTATTAATCTTATTATTTTATATTTTTTCTTCATTTTTTCCTTCTAAATAACTAATTAATTATTTATTTTTACTTCAATATTTTAAAAGTATTAATAAAATTGGTGCAATAGGTGCATCAGGTTTAGGTTCTGCCTTAGCAAAGTGCATTAATCTCTCAAATTTGACACTTTTTCTGTTGTAAAAACAGTTTTTTATTTTGGATTGTGATATTTTTACTAATAAAACGAATTTAAAATAATAAAGTTCATTTTTCTTTTTATTGTGCTTGCTTGCTTTTATTTCTTCGTTCTTTTTTAATTTAACTCATCATTTTATTTATTTTTAACTTTTACTTTTATTTTTAATTTATCTTATTATTTCATATTTTTTATTCATTTTTTCCTTCTAAATAACGAATTAATTATTTATTTTTTCTTCAATATTAAAAAAGTTCCAATAAAATTGGTGCAACAGGTGCATCAGGCTTAAGTTCTGCTTTAGCAAAGTGCATTAATCTCTCAAATTTGAGACTTGATCTTAGGTAAAAACAGTTTATTTATTTTGGATTGTGATAGTTTTAATTATAAAATGAATTTAAAACAATAAAGCTCATTTTTCTTTTTCTTTTTATTGTGTTTGCTTGCTTTGATTTCTTCATTCTTTGTTAATTTAATTCATTATTTTATTTATTTTTAACTTTTGCTTTTATTTTTTATTAATCTTATAATTTCATATTTTTTCTTCATTTTTTCCTTCTAAATAACTAATTAATTATTTATTTTTTCTTCAATATTTAAAAAGTGGAAATTAAATTGGTGGTAAAGGTGCATCATGCTTAGGTTCCGGTTTAGCAAAGTGTATTAATCTCTTAAATTTGACACTTTATATTATGTAAAAACAGTTTTTTATTTTGAATTGTGATAGTTTTAATTATAAAACGGATTTAAAACAATAAAAATTATTTTTCTGCTTGCTTGCTTTATTTCTTCTTTCTTTGTTAATTTAATTCATCATTTTATTTATCATTAACTTTTGCTTTTATTTTTCATTAATCTTATTATTTCATATTTTTTCTTCATTTTTTCCTTCTAAATAACTAACTAATTAATTATATATTTTTTCTTCAATATTTAAAAAGTGACAATGAAATTGATGATGAAGGTGCATCAGGCTTAGGTTCTGCTTATGCAAAGTGCATTAATCTCTAAAATTTGACACTTTATCTTTGGTAAAAACAGTTTATTTATATTGGATTGTGATAGTTTTAATTATAAAAAAGAATTTAAAATAATAAAGCTCATTTTTCTTTTTCTTTTTATTGTGCTTGCTTGCTTTTATTTCTTCTTTCTTTGTTAATTTAACTCATCATTTTATTTGTTTTTAATTTTGGCTTTTATTTTTCATTAATCTTATTATTTCATATTTTTTCCTTCTAAATAACTAATTAATTATTAATTTTTTCTTCAATATTTAAAAAGTAAGAATAAAATTGGTGATGAAGGTGCATCAGGTTTAGTTTCTGCTTTAGCAAAGTGCATCAATCTCTCAAATTTGACACTTAATCTTAAGTAAAAATAGTTTTTTATTTTCGATTCTGATATTTTTAATTATAAAAAGAATTTAAAACAATAAAGCTTATTTTTCTTTTTCTTTTTATTGTGCTTGCTTTTATTTCTTCTTTCTTTGTTAATTTAAATCATAGTTTTATTTATTTTTAACTTTTGCTTTTATTTTTCATTAATCTTATTATTTCATATTTTTTCTTCATTTTTTCCTTCTAAATAACTAATTAATTATTAATTTTTCTTCAATATTTAAAAAGTGGAAATTAAATTGGTGCAATAGGTGCATCAGGCTTAGGTTATGCTTTAGCAATGTGCATTAATCTCTCAAATTTGACACTTTATCTTAGGTAAAAACAGTTTATTTATTTTGGATTGTGATAGTTTTAATTATAAAATGAATTTAAAACAATAAAGCTCATTTTTCTTTTTCTTTTTATTGTGCTTGCTTGCTTTTATTTCTTCTTTCTTTGTTAATTTAACTTATCATTTTATTTGTTTTTAATTTTGGCTATTATTTTTCATTAATCTTATTATTTCATATTTTTTCCTTCTAAATAACTAATTAATTATTTAATTTTTCTTCAATATTTAAAAAGTTCCAATAAAACTGGTGCAACAGGTGCATCAGGCTTAGGTTTTGCTTTAGCAAAGTGCATTAATCTCAGAAATTTGAAACTTAATCTTAAGTAAAAACATTTTTTATTTTGGATTATGATATTTTTAATTATAAAAAGAATTTAAAACAATAAAGCTTATTTTTCTTTTTCTTTTTATTGTGCTTGCTTTTATTTCTTCTTTCTTTGTTAATTTAACTCATCATTTTATTTATTTATTTTTAACTTTTGCTTTTATTTTTAATTAATCTTATTATTTCATATTTTTTCTTCATTTTTTCCTTCTAAATAACTAATTAATTATTTATTTCTTTTTGCTTCAATATTTAAAAAGTGGCAATAAAATTGGTGCAACAGGTGCATCAGGCTTAGGTTCTTCTTTAGCAAAGTGCATTAATCTCTCAAATTTGACACTTGATCTTAGGTAAAAACAGTTTATTTATTTTGGATTGTGATAGTTTTAATTATAAAATGAATTTAAAACAATAAAGCTCATTTTTCTTTTCTTTTTATTGTGCTTGCTTGCTTTTATTTCTTCTTTCTTTATTAATTTAATTCATTATTTTATTTATTTTTAATTTTTACTTTTATTTTTCATTAATCTTATTATTTCATATTTTTTCCTTCTAAATAACTAATTAATTAATTATCTTTTCTTCAATATTTAAAAAGTTACAATCAAATTTGTGGTAAAGGTGCATCAGACTTAGGTTCTGCTTTAGCAAAGTGTATTAATCTCTCAAATTTGACACTTGATCTTTGGTAAAAATAGTTTATTTATTTTGGATTGTGATATTTTTAATTATAAAACGAATTTAAAACAATAAAACTCATTTTTTTTTTCTTTTTCTTTTTATTGTGCTTGCTTGCTTTGATTTCTTCTTTCTTTGTTAATTTAACTCATCATTTTATTTATTTTTCATTAATCTTATAATTTCATATTTTTTCTTCATTTTTTCCTTCTAAATAACTAATTAATTATTTATTTATTTTTTCTTCAATATTTAAAAAGTGGAAATTAAATTGGTGCAACATGTGTATCAGGCTTAGGTTCTGGTTTAGCAAAGTGCATTAATCTCTCAAATTTGACGCTTGATCTTCGGTAAAAATAGTTTATTTATTTTGGATTGTGATATTTTTAATTTTAAAAATAATTTAAAATAAAAAGCTCTTTGAATTTATTTGATAGCTTTTTAATGATTTATTTTTTTTATCTTTTTAATTCCACTTATGTTATTTTATTTATTAATTTAAATTTTTAATTTAAAAGTTTATTTTATTTATTGTTAATTTAAAATTTAC